CAGCAGCAGCAGGGCTGGGAACGGTCAGCTTGGAGAGGTTCATAATCTGCTGGCGCATCACCTCCGCCTGGCCGGCGCAGTGGGAGGAGATGCGAAAGTCGCTGGGCAGCGGCTGCCTGGCCGCCTCCATGAACTGCGCCCACTCCTCCTCGCTGGCGACGATCTTCTGCGCCTGGTAGAACTTCTCGAAGGAGGCGTTCTCCTTGACGATGCTCGGGTAGCTGGCCTGCTTGTCGCGCTCGTCCCATGGCTTCTGCTGGGGATTCTTCTTATCCTAGTGATTCAGTTATTAGAGATATAGTGTTTGATTTTCATAGATCAAAGCAAAACAAACCTTTGCGCTGCGAAAGTGGAACTTCTTCGAGCCGGACTTTCCTTTGGCCATGATGTCTAGAAGGATGTACTACAAAGATGTATTCTGCTTCTGAGTTCCAACAACAAGAGACTCTCTGTTTTGATTTGGCTGCCGGTCAGAGAATCCGCGTGGAGCACGTGAGATTTTTTTGTTGTTTCAGTACTCTCGAGCAGCTGACTCGCGCCCTCTGCTGTGCCTTGGATCTACTAGGCTGAACCCGAGATCTCTGATGGAGGGAATCCATTCACTCTGCAGTTAGCTGGCTTCTGCACCTTAATTTGCCCGTAAAATGAGTTCAAACTAAACTAGAATAACAACTGACAAGGTTGCTATATTTTGTTTTGACAGAAACTCATTTTTAAATGTGTAAAATCCGATGAATCCACAAAATTCGCTGATAAAATGGGGGATACAAAATTCAAAATTTGTCACGTCTTCTACGAACGGGAGCAGCAGTGAATTTGCAAGTTTTGTTGTGATGATTTTTTCATCGTCAGTTTTTGCCGCTGTCTCTTCACTTGACGTTTACCTGACTTTGCGGCATCTCTCGTTCCTAGTTTGATTATCGTCAGATCTCTTCAGAGTCTAGTTGCAAGAAGAAGAAGAAGAAGCTGAGACCATGGTCCGCAAGCTGGACGACGCCGAGCGGGCGAACGAGGGTCTCCGCCAGTACTACATCACCAAGAACGAGGAGCTTCAGTTGATTGTGAATGAGAAGACGCAGAATCTTCGCCGTCTCCAGGCGCAGCGAAATGAGCTGAACGCCAAGGGTAAGAGCTCTTTCAAGTCAGTTGGACCCTTTATTCATTCCCTCTTTTTCTTTCTTCCAACTCTAGTGCGAATGCTTCGCGAGGAGCTGCAGCTGCTGCAGGAGCAAGGCTCCTACGTCGGCGAGGTGGTGAAGCCGATGGACAAGAAGAAGGTCCTCGTGAAGGTCCATCCGGAGGGCAAGTTTGTCGTCGATCTCGACAAGAACATCGACATCAACGATGTGACGCCGAACTGTCGCGTCGCCCTGCGCAACGACTCCTACACGCTGCACAAGATTCTCCCCAACAAGGTCGATCCGCTGGTCTCGCTGATGATGGTGGAGAAGGTGCCCGACTCCACCTACGAGATGGTCGGCGGTCTCGACAAGCAGATCAAGGAGATCAAGGAGGTGATTGAGCTGCCCGTCAAGCACCCGGAGCTTTTTGAGGCGCTCGGCATTGCCCAGCCAAAGGGTAAGCAGTTTTGTTTCTATTAAGTTCTATTTGCGACATTCTTTAACACCTCATGTTTTGCCAGGTGTCCTCCTCTACGGCCCTCCCGGCACCGGTAAGACGCTGCTGGCTCGAGCCGTCGCCCACCACACCGACTGCACCTTCATTCGCGTCTCCGGCTCGGAGCTGGTGCAGAAGTTCATCGGCGAGGGCTCTCGCATGGTGCGCGAGCTGTTCGTGATGGCGCGCGAGCACGCCCCGTCCATTATCTTCATGGACGAGATCGACTCGATTGGCTCCTCCCGAATCGAGTCCGGCTCCGGGGGCGACTCTGAGGTGCAGCGCACCATGCTGGAGCTGCTCAACCAGCTGGACGGCTTCGAGGCGACGAAGAACATCAAGGTGATCATGGCCACCAACCGCATTGACATTCTCGACCCGGCGCTCCTTCGCCCAGGTCGCATTGACCGCAAGATTGAGTTCCCCCCACCGAACGAGGACGCCCGTCTGGACATTCTGAAGATTCACTCGCGCAAGATGAACCTGACGCGCGGCATCAACCTGCGGAAGATCGCCGAGGTGATGCCCGGCGCCAGTGGCGCCGAGGTGAAGGGCGTCTGCACGGAGGCGGGCATGTACGCGCTGCGCGAGCGTCGCGTCCACGTCACCCAGGAGGACTTTGAGATGGCCGTGGCGAAGGTGATGCAGAAGGACGCCGAGAAGAACATGTCCATTAAGAAGCTGTGGAAGTAGGCGGCAGCTGTGGTGGTGGCGACTGCAGTCCAACTTGCTTCTCCTGTAAGTCCACGCCCTCCTTTTTCTTTTCATTTTACTTTTATTATTATGATTGAAGCAAACTTGTACCACAACCACAACAACTCCCAAACATGTTACTGTAGTCGCCCACTAACCCCACATTTTTACAAATAATAATAAAACCCATTGAAATATAACCTAACCTAAGCTCATGATCAATTAGCCGTAGAATATTGTTCACTTCCTGAACATCTTTTCTCTTGAGCATCATTACGGCTCATTAATTTCCTCTCCTGCTAATTAGGCGAGTAGATTTCTAAATTGTTCTACTTTTCGAACAATTTAATCAAACAGCTCTCTACGCAAGCGTCATCTTTAGCTTGTAAGTGGAACTAAACAGTGTGCAGCTGTTCTATGTTCTAATTCTCAGCAATTCTACCCAACCAGACACGCCCCC